ACCCACTTACACCGCAGTCAATAACGAACCTCGTTCTGAGATGGTAACACTTCTGGATCTCTCCTCTGAACACATATATGGTATGTTTTATTTGCTATTATTTATTATTTTAGTTCATTTTGTTTTCTATATTCAATCATTTTTCATTAATGTTTTCGAATCCTTTACGTCACAGACTGGTAAAACATCAAAACACCACCTCAACAATAATGTTATATTAATAATATCTAAACACAACTTCCAAAAAATATACTGAGAAAGATGATAAAAGTATAAAATTGTAAAACTATAAATAATTGTAATTTGAGTTTAAAAGTTTATAATTTACACCTGATGACGGTTTGATAAACCGAAACATGTTGTGAATGTTCCGATGTAAATCGAATGCTCGATATGGAACATAAGATGATATTTTAATCATTTTAATTATCTTATCTTACTATTTTATTGTGATTTGACGGTAAACAAATATAATAATTATTTTAGTTAATATCACAATATGACGCAACTATACTATCTTATGATATTAAAGCCAAAATGATACAGAGTTTTGATAAACCTTATTAAAAATGAGCGAATCTCTTAAACATATAGGTTCTATTATTATTATTACAACTATTCACCACTTTATAAGATATTTACTTCTATGTACCCGAGACAAACTTTGCCCCTGAGGTGCATAGTGCACCAGCTATTTCCGAAATACATTTTGGTCTTCGTCTTATGTTCATTCTTCGTTCTGTCCCTAGAAATACATTTTATACGCTCTTATCTCTTAACACGAGTATTTTAATTTAATTACCTTTCCCTCTCGCGCCTTCTTCATTTACTTTTATCAGTATCATCCATTCTCTTCTTTCTCTTTTTAATTTCATGAATTTAACTTTCTGTCTCTTATTGTCATTAATCTCTGTTGTAAAGTAAGAATAAAGTCCGTTATTATTCACAAGAATCTTATTTGCAATTTCAATTTGCATTTCCAGTAACATTCCAAATAGTTTCAAGGTCAGAATTCAAAATGTCGTAGAGTATGAGGGCGGGGCAAGTTTTGATAAAATGACATAAAAGTCTCATATCTGCTCTTATTTCTATTCGCACAGAAACACGTAAGTTTCCTGATTCGAGTGGATTAGAATATTTTTGGTTCTGCATTAACTCGTGTACAACTTCTCTGTGTGACCTATGTTCATTACAGACGCAGTCTCATCGATGCTAAATCTTATCCCACACACTTTGACAGCTGAACCTTAACCTCAACCTCTTAAAAATTGCAGTCCACTTGTTTCTGTACTTGTAGGGGTCTGTCTCCACACCAAACCTTTCTTCCACACACGCTGCATTGCTAATTTGTTGGCTTATATTATGCCTATGTTGTGGGTTCAGAGTATCAACAAATGCTATTTTATAAACAATTTATAGTAAGTTCAAAGTCTGTAAATTACTTTCTCTTTGAATAAATTTTTTTTTGGATATTATCCATCGTCTAGTAAATATAAAACGTAAAACGACGTTTCGGAGATAGGAAAATATTTATTCAATTGACTCTTCACCATCGTCAAGAAGTTTTAGATTTGATATACTTTCTCTTTGCCTTCCAATAAGTTGTTGAAGACAAACTAATAAGGTAATGCATGAACGGTTTCTTCTGAAGCATTTTGGTTTCAGATATTTTCCAGAGGAAATTTACTAATAAGCTCAGTCACTATAGGTTAGATTGCGGGCCGTATTTTGAACCGGAAACCTCCCGAATACGAAACAGCGAAATAGCGTTTCGGCTGCTATAAAATTTGCTGTCTAATTTTGTGCAAAATTAACAATCAAAAACTGATTTGTGGATTTCCTTTAGGGTGTCACACACATATCTCCAATTTGTGATGGTTTAATCCTTCGTTCTTTGTTCGTTTTGGTGCAGTTTTAACAGTTAAGCGCCGACGAGGGATAGGCATTCGGAGAACTTGGCTTCTGGTAGCAAACAGAATGAGGTTTAAAGTAGATTCGGTGATAACAAGTAGACGGAAAATGGGAAATAAGAAGGGTTAGAGATGTAGAGAGAGAACTTGTGTGTATGTGTGCGGGTGCGGGTGCGGGCTGGGGCAAAGGAAGGATAACCTAGGTCTTGACAGACTTTGACAGACGGAAATACAGGAACGTCATTGGCCACGGAGGAGCGAAGCCTTCAAGAAAGCAGTCTGCCGAGGGACCACCTGCTAAGGCACTAATATGCGGTCTCGTTCATAAAATAAAACTGTTCTAGATGACCGACTGCACCAAACAGCGTTAAACGTAGATCCAAAGGCAAGTTAATGTATTGATCATGGTTTTATTTTAAGCAATAATTTTAAAACAATAAATTAATTTCGTGGAGCAAATTTTATCTTCACAAGAAGATAACTTATGAGTTACACAAAAATTGTCGGTTTTCTATGAAGCAGAATTGCACGGAACTTCGCTTCTTAGCCCTGCTTCGTATTCGGCAGTTCTGGGTTCAGATCTCGGTTTGAAGAGCGACAATCCTAGATACGGTTTTTCGTTGTTTTCTTCCATCCCTCCAGGCAAATCGCGGGATAGTGCCTAAAATAATTCTAATGTTCCTTCCTTCCATATCCTTCCCAATTAATTATCTATTCATCATCATATCGTTCGATGAATATGTCCTGATCTACTAAAACCACCGACAAATTAGTAAATAAATACATAATAAAA